GGCAGTGAGTACTAAGCAGCAGGCACCTGGAACCAGCTCCCCTGTATATCTGGCACTTCCAAGTGACAACTCAGGGAGGTGTGTCAAATGCATGTGTTGTTGCTGCTATTAAGATACACTTGAGTCACTTCTGACTCACGGTGACCCCATGTGTGTGCAGAACTGCTCCATGTGGTTTTCAAGACTGTCACCTTTTGGAAGCAGACCCCAGGCCTGTCTTCTGCAGTGCTGTAGAGTGGGTTCAAACCGTCAACCTTCTGGCTATCAGTTGAGTGTCTAACCATTAGTGGCACCAAATGCATGTAGGGAAAGGAAAAGGGACTAGACCAGTACAGTCCCTCCTCCCACACTTGGTTAAGAAACAGGATGAGCCGATCTTTGCCGTGTTCCGCACAAGTTCTCCCAACCAGACCCTAATTAGGACAAACAGCTGTGCTCCTGGCCTCGGACTGGAGAGATGCCTTGGACTGTTCTAATCAAGAAGTCTCTAGCCCAGAGAACTGATAGAGTTGCCGCACGAGTGAGCAGAAAATAGCAGATGATAAATGTTTTAGGACCACCCTTGGCGTGCCAGTTGTAGCAGACTGTGAGCTAATGTGCGGGGCCTTTTTGGAGCATGCATTATTGATTTGGGTGTGTCTCATGGTTTATAAAAAGCCCATCCTCCCCCTCCCACCTTTCCATCTCTCACCTCCTGAAAGGAGCACTCGAACCAAACCCAGTGCGTCGAGTTGATTTTGACCCTAGAGGACAGAATAGGACTGCCCCCAGAGGGCTTCCAAGGCTGTCAATCTTTATAGAGGCGGACGGCCTCATCTTTCTCCCACACAGGGGCTGATGGCCTTGCACTGTTGATTCTTCAGTTAGCAGCTGAGCGCTTAACCACTGGATCACCAGGGCTGCTCGAAAGGAGCACAGCCTCCTCTAAAAGCCAGTTCAACTTGGTGGAAGCGCTGGCTTGTCTGTGGGAGGGAGGCTTTTAGGTACCGATCTATGGCACTGAGTGCTGCTGGTTGAGAATTAGCGGATACCACGGGAGGGGCTCTAAACCCACAGCATTCACTTCCTGGAATTTATCTTCCAGAAACACTCACTCATGAGTGCAAGGTGTGTGTAGAAAGACATTCCCAGCATCATTATTTGTGAGTGAAAAACTAGCACACACACACATGCACAAACACACACACAAGCTGGGATCATCACAGTAGTCATCCCAGAAGGTCTGCTAGGTAGAACAGTGGTTAAGAACATGGGCTCTGGGCTCCAGTCTTGTTTGATGCCATTCTGGCTGTGCAACCTTAGACAAGTGAGAACCTTTCTGTATCTGTAACATGGAGAATTAGCTAGGTATTTTAAGTCTGACATGGTGTTTGCTCTCTCCTCACCTCACACTTCATCACCCCCATAATTTTCTTCCCCTTGTATGTTCCCTCTGCATGTTCTGTTGGTTTTACTCAAGAGCCCCGGATGCAAAATTACAATCAGATTCTCACATGCAGCTTAGTGGACTAAGGATGCCACAGTGAAGGTCTTGCTCATAAAAGTTGGAGAACAACTCTTTTGTTGGCTCTGGCCAAAAAACCTAAGAGTTGTCCTTTCTTCCATAACCCTGCATCCAATTCAGGAGCTCTGGTAGAGTAGTGCCTAAGGCATTTGACTGCTAACCAGAAGGCTGGCAGTTCAAACCCACCAGCCACTCCTCAGAAGGAAGATGGGGCAATCTACTTCCATAGTGATACTGCCTGAAACCCAAGGAGGGGTCGCTATGAGTCAGGTCCAACTCACCAGCACATAACAACATAACAACACATCCAATTCCTCCATCAGTTTATTGCCCAACAAATTTCAAGTGGGATCACACCTCACCTGCTCCATTGTTTCCATCCTGATCCAAGCTTCCACCATGGCCTGACCAATCATTACCAAAAACCAAAAAAAAAAAAAAAAAAAAAAAACAACTCCTGCCATCAAGTCATTTCTGACTCACAGTGACCCCCACTGGGTTTCCAAGGCTGAAAAACTTTATGGAAGTAGATTGCCCTGTCTTCCTTCCACAGAGCAGCTGGTGGGTTTGAACTGCTGACCTTCCAGTTAGCAGTCAAGTGCCTTATCCACTACATCACCAGAGCTCCTTACCACTCATTACAATGGCCTCCTAATGGGTCTCCCGCTTCTGTCCTTGTCCTTTGAAATCTTACCGCAGCCTAACAGCCAGAGGGGGCCTATTGGAACCTGAGCCATCCATGTTCCTCCTTGCATAAGGCCCCTAATTCACGTCCATTTCGGGAAGAGCAAAATTCAAAACCACAGCCCATAAGGCCCCATAAGTAGACCCAGCCACCTCCCCGCCTCGCCTCTCATCATTCAAGCCCTGGCTTCTCCCATTCCAGCTCATTGGCATGTTTTGCTCCAACCCACCAACCTTACTTCTAGCTCAACATCTTTTCCTTTTGTGTTGTCTTCTCCTGGAACAATCCCTCCCCACTTCCCCAGATGCTAGCACAGTACGCTACACAGAGCACATGCTTATTAAATATTTGACGAATGAACACGCAGACGCCCTGGGCATCTCAAATTCCCAGGTCTAGCGGTGACCTAGACAGCTTTAGGGGCTGCACGAGGCGAGACCCAGGGGCTCAGCTGCTGCCTGCAAGCCCTGCCTGCAAAATTCTCCCTAGAAACAAAACTCATACCACCAGGGCCCCACGGGCTGTAAATTCCTCTTAGTTATCAAATGTGGTTCCTTCGAAATGCTGCTGGGGAGATAGGTACCCTATGTGTCAAATTGTCAATAAAATTCAGGGCTCTGATCACTTCCTCACTACAAATTCTTTTTGCACTGATATGATAAGCTCTTGGAGGGGGAAAAAATCTATGCTTGTGATCATTAATACAAATCATTACAAGGAGGGACTTGGTTTTATATAAATCATCTTTTCTTGGCAGCTAAAAGACTGATTCATGTTTTTAATAATGGATCTAAAAAGGGTGTAGATTTGCAGTTGGATCTTCACTGCAATCTTACATCTGGTTACAAAAGTTTACCCAATAAACCTTTACTTTGCTGCCACTAAGAATATTCCAAAGTTGGTTGTCTTGTGACCGTGGACAGAGGCTAACGGCCCACCCCTCACTTGGGCCTCACCTGGGAAAGGTTGGCACTCCTTACCACAGCTGACAATTAAACCTTGGCAAGGGCTCCTGTCCTCATCTGGTCTACCAGAGCCCACAGAAGCCATGTCTCCATCCTCTCCCCAACTCATGTTCGCCTCCCTTCCCCAGGCTCACAAGGCTCCAGCCACACCTGCCTTCTGGTTCCTGCCTCAGGACCTTTGAACATGCTGTTCTTGCTGCCTGGCACACCTTTCCCCAAATCATCACAATCCACTGGTAGTGATGAGAAGGGAAGCCTGATTTATAGAAGGACAAGGCATAAGGCTGCATGCCGTCCAGTATGGTAGCCACAAGCCACATACGGGTACTGAGCCCTTGAAAGGTGGCTCATCTCAATTGAATGTACTCAAGATACAACACACATGCTGGATTTCAAAGATTTAGTGTGAAAAATGTCAAATATCTCATTAAAGATATTTGGAAATGATAACATTCTAGATACAGTGTATATTACCTATGGCAACATATGTGATGAAAGTGAACTTTACCAGTTCCTGCTCACTTTTTTTTTCTTTTTCAATGTAGCTACTAGAAGCTTTAAAATGATCTATGCCACCCACATTTGTGCTTTGCATTATATTGCCATAGGACAGTGCTGGCACAGGGTCAAATGCAGAGAAATAAAACCTGTATAAACAGCAAATTCAAAAGGAGATGAGACAAGACAAGGAGAAAGTTTTCGCTGGGACAGACCCCAGTGGTGAGCTGGAAACAGCAAGTGGAGTTTGATTCAGAGGGTCCAGGTGAGATGGGTCCTGGAGGCCCGACTTGGTGGTCTCATGTATGGGATCTCTTCTCATGCAAATGAAGAAATTCACAGCTCAACTGGGAAGAACCCAAAGAATTACTGGAAGGGTGGGGGAGGAGTCGGAGGATGGTTTGTACAGTGACCCAAGGACAGGCTCTGGGGCTGTGAGCTGGAGAAGCCCCTGGGCATAGAGACCTCTGCGAGCCCCTGCCACACCCATCAGTGAGTGAATGAATTAAACCTTGGCAAGGGGCCCTGTCACAGCCTGGCCTACCCAGAGCCCACAGTGCTGCAAGGGGAAGAACCTAGGTTGAGGGATGGTGGAGCTTAGCCTCCTGCTGGTGCCGTCCTTGTCAACTGGGCTGGGTCAGTAGCAATGCTGACAGCTTCCTACCATGTCCACCCTCCCTGCTCCTGGATGCCCCGAGGAAGGGTGAATCCACTGGAAGCAATTAAGATTGGTGGAGCAGGTAGTGGAGCAGGCTCCTTCTTTTGTTCAGTGTCAGCTCAAATATCACCACCTCTGAGAGGCCCTCCCTGACTACCACTCTACCATAGCCTCAGCTACACCACTACTGAGCATATCACCCTCTTCATTTCCTTCCTAGCATCCATCCTTTCCTGAAATTGTTTTAGATAGTTACTGGCTACCATGCTGATTGTCTGTCTGTTCCACTCCATGAGGATAGGGGCTGTGTCTGTCTTACTCATGACTGTAGTTCCAGGTGTTCTAGAACATTGTCTGCATAGAGTAGATACTCAATAGCAGTTTGTTGAATAAATCAATTGGTCTTAACATCTCCTCTCCATCAGGCTTTGGGGAAGTCCAGGAACGGTTCTGCACTAGGAGAAAGCTGGACACTCCTCTCCTTGAGACCCGGCTGTGAATCTACATGTGTGAATCCACACGCATGTGCAACTCTTGGGTCTCACCCACTAAGCAGCAAACTCTACATGTCTACGCCACCGTCTTGCATCAGGAGCCTTCGATCTGGCATGAAGGCTCCAGGTAGGTGCCACGTGTGCTGTGGGAAGGTCCACGGGAGGTCCCACAATGCCCTCCTGCAGGGACACTCACCCAGCTCCACGTCCTGGTCGTCGGTCAGCACCAGGATGATGTTGGGGCGGATGTTCCTGCGGTCCCTCTGAAACCTGCCCTTCAGGCGGTGGGGGGACAGGAAGGCGGAGCTCCCCGCCAGCAGAGAGAGGGCTGCCGTGGACAGCAAGCAGAGCAGGAGCCTGGAACGCACCATTGTTTGCTGATCGCTGCTTCGGTCAGGAGGCGGGTCTGAAGTTGCGTGTTGTGGGTTTGTTTCTTTTCCCACTTCCCTCTTTATTCACGGATCTAAAGTAGGAGGAAAAGGACCCAGTCAATATTTACGCAAAGGCTGCCCTGCCACCAGTACCTGCATGACAATTTGTACCAAGTCTCTGGCATGAACAATGAGATTCGCTTTGAATAGGTGAAGCGAGAACAGAACCACCACCGAACTCAGCGAAGGTTAGAAGAAAAGGATTTGGAATTTGTTCAGGCAACAGGCCAGTGAAAACCCTTCAGAGACCACTTCTGCAGGCAGACTCTCTCCCCGGGGCCCAGTGATGCTCTGGACATGTTGGGGGCAGCCCGAGTCCCAAGTCAGATCATCAGCCTGGCTCCAAAAAGCCAGAGCAGTTCAACCCACAAACCCTCCCCAGAGAAAGGAAAAGCAGCAGTCCAACCTGGGGGAACAGGGGTTTCTGTCCCCCCAACTTTTTTTTTTTTTAATGTGTTGTGGGTTAAAGTGTACACAGCATATTCATTTGCCATTCAACAATTTATACACTTTTTTTTTTAATAACGTTAGTTGCAGTCCCTCAATGCACTCTTCCCACTTCTCTGTGGGTTCCACTCCATTGGCCTTCTTTCCTGCCTTGTGAAGTTTGTTTTTGGACAAATGCTGCCCTTTTGGTCTCACACAGCTGATTGTTCTAAGGAGCAGTTCCCTTACGAGTGTTGCTGTTCACTTCCCAGGCCTGTGTCTGTCATTTGGTGGCAAGGTGATCTCCAGGGGTGAGTTCAGTGCCAGGTTTCAACGGTGGCTGAAGGCATTGTCTCAGTGGTTCCACCAGTTGCTATCAGACCCGTTAGGGCTGCTCTTTTTTTATGATTTTGAATTTTGTTCTACATTTTTCTCCCACTCTGTCTAGGATCTTCTTTGGCCCTGATCAGAGTGGTGGGTAGCAGTAGCCGGGCACCATCTAGTTCTTCTGGTCTCAGACTAGTGAAGGCTGTGGTTCTTTTTGTTGCTGTTGTTGTTGAGAAAATACACAGCAAAACATGCAACAATTCAACAGTTTCTGCATGGACAATTCACTGATGTTGATGCCATCCTTCAAGTTATGCAACCATTCGCACCCTCCTTTTCAGAACTGTTCCTCCCCCATGAACATAAACTCAATGCCCCTTAAGGTTTCTATGTAATCTTTGGAGTTGCTATTGGCAAGTTGATTTCATATAGATGGGTCTTAAAAGAGCATAATGTCCAAGGCAGATATTTTTACTAGTTAAACTAAGCTACTGTTTGGTTTTAAGAAGACTTCAGGGTATATTTTTGGTTTAAGTTTTAGAGATGATCTCAGGGCAATAGTTTCAGGGCTTTATCCAGCACCCATGGCCGCAGAAAGTCTGGAGTCTATGAGAATATGAAGTTCTGTTCTATATTTTCCCCCGTTTTGATCAAGATTCTTCTATGGCTCTTTGATCAAAATGGTCAGTAATGGCAGATGGGCACCATGCAGTTCTGGTCTCATGGCAAAGGAGACAGTTGTTCATGGAAGCAATTAGTCATATTCCATATCCTCCTCCAATTCCTGACTCTCCTTCCTGTGCTGTTTCAGGCAAATAGAGATGTGGTCCTCTCCTATCTGCTAGCACATGGGGGTGTGCAGGGGAGCGAGATGGAGTTCAGCTCTTGAGCAACCTGTGATTCAGTCAAGAGGTTTGAGAGAGCGTGGGGCACAGGGGGCCCTGGAAAAGAGCACCCGCTTTGGGCTGGAAGACTCGTGTGTTTCAATCCCACTCTGCCCCTTGCTGGCTGCTTTCCCCAGGAATGAACTAGTGAGGAACCGCAGATTCCTTGTGAAAAAGGGGAGCACACTGCTGAGGACCAAGACCAGGGAGGGTGTGACCCCGTGAAAGGACCCTGGAGTGAGACAAAAGCGACTCCCGTTAACTTTAAGTTGAAGAATAGAGAAAACGGCAATGAGAAAACCAAAGTGTCAAAGGTGCAGAGAAAAGAACTGTGGCATCCCATGGTGACCTCTGTCAACGCCATGACCCAGGTGAAGTCAGGACACAAGTGAGGGGGAGGGGAGACAGTGGGCGGGTCTGGCTAAAGTGTCCGGTCTCCCTCTGCTCTCCGTGGTCATTTTTCTGCTTCATGAGGAAATGAGCCTTCAAGTTCTGTCCAGGAATAGATTTTGGTCTCATTTATTTAAGATGAGAGACACAGAGAGAGAGAGAGAGAAGCAGATGTGCTGGGAGGAAACCAAGTCCCTAGAAGAGGGGCTGAGTCTTGTCCCTGTGACCTTGAAGGAGACTGTTTGCTCCTGCTGTCTGTGGGGGCACTGTGGCCACACCCAAAGTCCTGGGGGCTGAAATCTCCTCCAGGGCCTCCAATGCTGCCCCCATCCTCTCTCCGGGGGCTGTAAGAGCCACCTATGGGATCCCTCCATGTCCCCTGTCCTCCTCCTTCCTCCCCAGTGCACCTGGAAGGGTCTTCCTAAAATGTAAATTAGACCATATCCCTCCAGAGAGTGGGATTGGGGTGAGATTGGCTCTCAGAGAGCACAACTGAAGGGGGGCCTCACCCTAATCGCTGTCACTCACCTGCTCGAACCCCCCCTGGCTTCTCATTGCTCCAGGAGCAAAATGCAAGCTCCCCATTGGCTCTATGGGCCCTGGTGGGAACTGGCCTCATCTGCCCCTCCCCTTCTTCCTCCCAGCTGCTCTCCAGCCCCACTGCCTTCTTCTTGCTGCTCGGACAAGACACACAAGAGCCCTGCCCGTGACCTTTGTGCTGTCCTTCCTTAGACCCGGGAGCATCTTTCCCCAGATTCTGTATCATGGGCTTCTCCTCTGCCAAATCCTGGTCTAAGCGTCACCTCCTCGGAGAAGCCTGCCCATCAGCCTCGGTTTCAGGGTAGCTCTAGTTATGGCAAGGGATGCTGATTTCCCACGTACCTATGCACAGACGTTTACTTTTTCAAAAACAAGTATTTGTGTTTTTATTTCAAGATGAGGCCATTTAAAGAAACATGTTTGGGAGATAATAGTAGGAGGGTTGTGTACATGCAGCAGAAATCAGGGCTATGATACGTGACTAAAACATGTTGGGAAACATGCATTTAGTGGTGAGGAACCGGGCCGGGTTGAGCAGTCAGGGAGTGCAGAGTTCCAATCTTGTCTCTACCGTTTGCTCGTTGGCTGATCTGAGGATGGTGACTCAGCCTCGTTGGTCTAACTGTGACACGGGGATAATACAGGCGAGAGGTTAGAGTAAACCTCGTAGGGCTGTGAGGACTGCAGGAGTTTCTACAAACAGAGCCCTCAACACGGGACCCAGAAGCAGTGGCAGTAATAAGCCAGCCACAGTTGACATCATGCATTCCGCCCCCTAGTTAGCACTCCGTGTTAATGCATTTAATCTCTCACACCCATTTTACAGATGAGGATATTAAGGCACAGAGGAGTTAAGTAACTTTCCCAGGGTCACTCAGCAAGCAACTCCAAACTGCAAGCTCTTAACGATCAGACATCAAACAAAAAATTATACGGAGTATCCATGGGATGTACTACAAATAGCAACTCTCTTGAATAAGAAATAATCATAGCAAAGACATACTGACAACCTGCAAATGATCCAGCCCTGCTCTGACCACGGATGTGCATTCTAATCCCTGTGTACACCTGTTGATAGTACACACATTTCACAGATGAGGAAACTGAGGAAACTGAGAGTTACAATCACTTGTTGACAATCACATGGCCATATAAGTGGCAGAACCAGAGTTCAAGTCCAGTCTCGCTCAAGTTCGCCTTAACTGAACCTCCTGAAAGCATTTTTTAGACAAGTTTCTGAGCCCCCAGCCTCAGGTTTCTCATTTGTCAAACAGAGCGGCTGCCCAGATGTCCTCTGAGGACCTTTCTGGTTCTGGGCCTGTGACGCCAAAGTGCTGGGACCTGGGAGCTGCAGCCTGTATGGGGAGCCCTGGGCCAGGTGAGGGATGGTGCCTGGGCCGTGTCTGTCTTAGTGCCCCTGCTCTTGGGCATTGAGAACATGCCAGCAAGATTTGCTCTCCTTGGATTGAAGTCAAAGCTCCACGACCAGAGGCTGGAGAATAGCAGGAGCTAATTATTTCATCAGACCGAGTCATCAGTGGGTTGATGTTTGATGAATTCCCCCCGGCTCCGACTTCCCCTGGCCTTGTGCCAGTCTCTCTCCGGATGCCGAAGAAATCAATTAGAAATGACGCAGGAGATTTGGCTTTTTTTTTTTCCTTCTTGGTAAAAGATGCAAAATGAATACGCTGAGAGTATCTGGTGAAGTTATGCAGTACTGGCTGGCCTGATGATCCGTCCATACTGTCGCCCCTCCTCACCCCCTGTGCATGTCTATATGGCACCTTCTCTTCGTTCTGCATCTTCTCACAGACTGAGCAACCCCAGGACCCCACCCAGGGGAAAGACTCAGAGGGACCTCTATGTGCCTACACCACCGTCTCCAATCAACAACTTTAGACTCAGCATTCAGACCTCATTGATGTAGGAAGGACACTTGCCTGCCCTCTTATTTTCTTCTGAGGATCCCCAAATCTCAAAATTAGAGCAGAGGTGAGTTTGGTGAGAGGACAAAGCGGCCAGAGACAGAACATGGGGCCAGTCAGAAGTGAAACCCCCGTAAGAGCTGTGAACAAAGGAAACTCTGGTGGGTGGGAATGTGTGGAGATGCCTTAGATTCTGGGACCAGCAACCCCAACCACTTATGGGTTATTTTAGTTTATAAATACTTATTTATTAGGGTCCTAGTATGTGTGTTGGGTGGTAGGACAATCCTGATTGGATTACGGCAAGAGCTTCCTAAACTCTAAGTGGCTCCCCTGCTTCCCCATGACCCCCTTTCAGTCTAGTCTCCATCTGGCAGCTGGAAGGGTCCTCCACTGAAACCCCCCGAGGGATCCCATCACATGCACACTAAAGCCCCCAAGCCCTCCAAAGACCTACAAGACCCTACACAATCTGCCCTGTGGCCCCTGACCCTGTCACCTTCCACTCTCCCCCTTGTGCCCCCTGGGCTCCAGCCATGC